GGCACCCCACGATACCTACTCATGGATTGACCTATTTTTGGTGAACCCAGGGCTCGAGTCCTGCAGGAACGCGTGGGAACGGCGTTCCTGCACTTTTTTCACAGCAGGAACGCCGTTCCCCCTGCAGGCACTCAGGGGGCGGCAAAAAATGCCGCCCCCAAATGCCCCCCCTTGTTTCCCCTGTCATGGGGGGCAACCTGATGGATTGCCCCCCGGCGCACGGCTCTCTCCCTGTCACACGCGGAGAGGGAGCTGTGTGCTCTCTGCTCCCTCTCGCCGCGCGGGATGTCTGCTGTTGCTGGGAGCCGGGTTGATGACGTCATATTCCGGCTCCCAGCATCAGCAGACATCCCGCGCGGCGAGAGGGAGCAGAGAGCACACAGCTCCCTCTCCGCGTGTGACAGGGAGAGAGCCGCCCTCACTGCAGCCCCACTGGACCCCAGGGAAAGGTAGGGATGCTGGGTGGGTGGGAAATGTTAATTTTTTTATATTATTATTAATTTGTATATATGTATGTCTGTTTGTGGATGTCTGTTTGTGGATGTGTGGATGTGGATGTCTATTTGTGGATGTCTGTGTATGTGTGGATGTCTGTGTATGTGTGGATGTCTGTGTATGTGTGGATGTCTGTTTGTGGATGTCTGGATGTCTGTTTGTGGATGTCTGGATGTCTGTTTGTGGATGTCTGGATGTCTGTTTGTGGATGTGTGGATGTGTGGATGTCTGTTTGTGGATGTGTGGATGTCTGTTTGTGGATATGTGGATGTCTGTTTGTGGATATGTGGATGTCTGTTTGTGGATGTGTGGATGTCTGTTTGTGGATGTCTGTTTGTGGATGTCTGTGTATGTGTGGATGTCTGTGGATGTCTGTGTATGTGTGGATGTCTGTGTATGTGTGGATGTCTGTGTATGTGTGGATGTCTGTTTGTGGATGTGTGGATGTCTGTTTGTGGATGTCTATTTGTGGATGTCTGTGTATGTGTGGATGTCTGTGTATGTGTGGATGTCTGTGTATGTGTGGATGTGGATGTCTGTTTGTGGATGTGTGGATGTCTGTTTGTGGATGTGTGGATGTGGATGTCTGTTTGTGTGGATGTGTGGATGTCTGTTTGTGGATGTGTGGATGTCTGTTTGTGGATGTGTGGATGTCTGTTTGTGGATGTGTGGATGTCTGTTTGTGGATGTCTGTGTATGTCTGGATGTCTCTTTGTGGATGTCTGTGTATGTCTGGATGTCTGTTTGTGGATGTCTGTGTATGTCTGGATGTCTGTTTGTGGATGTCTGTGTATGTCTGGATGTCTGTTTGTGGATGTGGATGTCTGTTTGTGGATGTGTGGATGTGTGGATGTCTGTTTGTGGATGTGTGGATGTCTGTTTGTGGATGTCTATTTGTGGATGTCCTGTGGATGTGGATGTCTGTTTTGTGGATGTGTGGATGTGTGGATGTGTGGATGTCTGTTTGTGGATGTGTGGATGTCTGTTTGTGGATGTGTGGATGTCTGTTTGTATATGTGTGGATGTCTGTTTGTGGATGTCTGTTTGTGGATGTCTGTTTGTGTATGTGTGGATGTCTGTGGATGTCTGTTTGTGTATATGTGGATGTCTGTTTGTGGATGTGTGGATGTCT